GCGCCCCCTGGCGGGCGGGAGGAGCCGCCGCGCGGCCCGCTCGGGCTACACAAGACACGGGCCCAGGCTGGGCTTTTCCACTCCCAAACCGCGCTTAAGGACTGCAGGACCTCAGAGGCGTTGCATTTTTCCACTCGACGAGGGAAATGTGAATTATTGACGCTTCCATGGCAGACCCCCCCTCCACAAGGGGCAAAGCCACGCCGGGTAGTACCTTCAAGAGAGAGCAGCTTTTTTTGAACTTTTAATGGATCAGTCCAGAAAATAAGAGAGAAATATTAAGCAAAGATGGTGTCAGATCTGGCTGAAATTGTGTGTCAGAGTCTCTCTTCATAAAACACACGTATAACATGACTCGCTTGAATTTACATGACAAAAAACTTGAAAAAGGCCAAGACAGCAGCATACCCCAGAGGCAGAAAAGAATGACATAAGTTTTATTTAAATATCTTGAAATGAAGAGAGAGGAGAGAAGAAAGAGTGAGTAAAACTTAAATCCACATATCAGAATGAAGAAAAGGAAGGTCTAAGTAACACTTTTAATTCCTGAATTAAATCAGAGACATACAGGTCCTYGAGTGTTTTTACAAATATTTTCCTAAAGGACTGAGTTCATTTAGGTGTAAAACACAAGGACTGAATTCATTTGGTGTAAAACAGAAGCAGGATTACTTTGCTGTGACACTAAAACTCAAAGACAAAACCACAAGAGGCGATACTAGCCATTTAAGCATATAACTTAAAAAGAAAGCACTGTCATGTGAACAATTACTACTGATTACATCAAAAATATTATACATTTACTTCTTTCATCTCTTAACATTATAAGATAGGTTGGGCAAATACCTGGCACCAAAAAATTGATGCATGATAGTTCCAATACGTTAAACAAAATGTACTATATTAGAACATTAATATTTAAAAATTTATGCAAACCTTCCCTCCAAACCCCCATGGCTGACAGCTTCCTAGAAATCCCRTTTACCCTCCTGGAAAAAGTTTGCAGATTATTGACTTTACCTTCTTCCACAGTACTGAAGGTGACTATAAAAATTATTTCTAAAGGAAGGGTGAACAAAGGGATGTACTTGATACCGCATCCAAATTACTGTAACAAGCTAGTGTTACCTCTTTCCAAAAATCACCTCTGTTAATAAAGGTGCCTGAGTTTCTAAAAATCTAGTTGCAAGGGGCTTCCTCCCACACCGMATGTAACAAGTCACTCCAGCACCAGCAGTTTGCTTCCAAACACCAGCAGAAATCTAACACTGACCTGAACATAACCCAAGCGCGAGGTGTACAAGGAGCTAGTAGTTTATTTACCCCCTACTAATTATTCAACTTGCATCCCAGTTGTATGTAGAATAGCATTATTGTAAAATTAACTAATGGCAGCACCTGCATTGCTGTTCAGTTTCAGAAAAAGCAATCCAGGTGCTGCTGTATTTGCTATATATTTTAATTGAACAAAAGCAATATACAATTTATATTTGAACATTATGCCATTCGAGTCCACACAAGGTCCACCARGTAAATCAATGTGATGTTACAATAAAATACATGATCTCATTTATCTAAGAAGTTTCCTGATCATGTATCATATTCAAGATAGATCCAATGCCTTTAGTATCAGACCGTGAAGCCAGATGTACTCTTAAAAGAAATAACCAAGTGCGCTTTATGCAGGAGAACATTCTGACAGTATTTAATGGTTTGCAGCATCTGCTTGCCGAGGCCAGCCGTCTTCCTCAACGCCAGAGTCATATTCTTCTTCAGATGAATCTTTAGGAGGAGCCCTATAATTAAAACGAACTGATCAGACAGGGGTACAGAAATTGAGAAAAGCACGGAGACAGTATCCATAGATGGCCAAAGCAGAGGCCTGCAAGTGCCCTGCAGAAAAGGGTTCTGACAAGGATGCCATCTGCAAAAGCACCTTCCCACCTGAAAACGGTGCTATGCTGCTATGGCAGGCTTTAACCATTATCAGTAAGCAGTATCATTACTGAACACCAAGAGGTCACTGAACTCAGTTACATAAGGTAGATTTCAATTTTTAAGCAAACACAAATACTAGTGTTCTGCAAAATAAGGGAAGGCAGCTATTAATATCTTCAACCATCCTCTTGGGGAGCGAGCATGCTCAAGCCAGCTTCAACACAGACACCGGCACATACAGAGTTATGGAAGCCACGCTGGCAGACCTGGAAACCACCCTAGAATTCATAAATCCCAGTCCTGTGTCCTCATCCTGACCCACACCCTCTCAAAGCTGCTCCTTTGCTTACTAAAATAAAACATTATCATTTACACCCAGCTTTGCACAGTGTCTTCACTGCTCTACCACATCACTAACATAATACAATCTTGAGCATTAAATCCGGTATTTTAACAAGTGGTCAAAAAGTCAACAACAGATGCTTCTTTTCGGCCCTCCATTGCTGCAAGGGCAACAGGAGAAAACTGCAGAGGCCTGGAGCTTGTCTAAAGAAATACCTCACAGAGCAAGGTAGTTTTCACCAGAAGAAAGAAGGGAAGAGTTTTCCATTTCTGAAGCTGCAGTCGTATTTAAAACTTTTTTTTTAACCATATTAGCAGGTCATGCTCATCATTTACGTCTATTTCTACAGGCATATAGACACACACACACAGAACTTAAAACAACTTCATATGAAAGTTTATTTTGTAATTTCTACTTAAAAACTGAAGCAATACAAACCCAAAGTGTCTAGGACAGAACAGGCACTAGGTCAATGTGTCTGCATACAGTGAATCAGATTGTTTCTAAGACATGTGCACAGCTGATTTAAACACTTGTGCCTATGGGTCTGGCTGTATTACTGCTCTGTTCCAATACTGCCACTACAGCTTTACCTAATGTATCCTGGCTCTTTTTTGCCTTCTACAACATCTTTGTCGACTTCCACGCACACGATGTCAGAATTGGGCACTTCAAACATGGGCTCCAACAGCAGCTTTTCCTGCAGGAAAATAAAAAAAGGAAAAAAAAAAATCTTTTATATAACAATTATGCTTAGCAAGTGCTTTTCAGAGCTGACTCCCAAGAAATCTCAATATCCAAATTTTTAGAGAGAGATTTATTGCATCTATAAAGACATTCTGAGTCAGAACTCTCATGATTAGGATCACTTTGGGGAACGTAGGTGGTTTCACTTACTCAATCCGAGCCGACCCATACTTACCATGATAGATCGAAGACCTCTTGCACCAGTTTTTCTGTCAAGGGCCAGTCTAGCTATAGCTTTCAAYGCATCTTCAGTTACGTTTAATTCACACTACAAACAGAAAAGCACATTAAGTTTCGTCAGGTGTTTTGTTTGTAACTCAAGAGTGCTTTGAATGCAACAGGACAAGTGTTATGACTGTACAAATCGACACAAAGGAGAGAAGTGACACAGCAAGGGTTTGCTTTTTATAGATCTGAATATTTAACTACATACAAAACTTGAGCTACTCTTTGCTTTTCCCTAAAGCACCAGTATTGCCTCGGTCATTTAACTGTAATTTCTACACAAAGCTCCACAGCACATGACATGACTCTCTGACAAGGTCACCCATGTTCCAGGGATCATCAACACAAAGAGCAGTTCAAAGACTTCCACATAGTGTCTCCATGAGGACAGGTATCTAGTCCAAAACTGTACTGACAGTTGCCTTTCAGCAGGACAGATCTTAGGCTTTTGCTGCAGGGCCGTGCACATGCAATTACTTCCACTGACTTTTTATATTCTTTTCCTAAAAATGCCTCTTGAATCTTCTAAAAGGTCAGATTTCTAAATAAGAGGCACTTAGAATAGATACTGAAGATAAAAGACTCAACATCAAAAAGAACAGGAAGATGAGAGTGACCACTCAACCAAGGAAAGGTTGAGAAGAGCAAYGGCCTGATTCTTCAATCTTTCACTTCCTCAATCTTCAAGGGCACTTCAAACACATCATACAACAGCATTTTTAAAGGAAAGACCAAGATTAAGAGACATTAAAAAGCAGCAAAGAGTGAAGGACTGGCTGATCTGAACAAAGAAGGCTTCCACCCCACAGCTTTAAACTGGGGAAATKGAGATACCTTTTAGAATCTGAACCAGAAGCTGAGAAAACATTTACACATCCAGGGGCATAATGGGCATTTTTTTACTCAAAGAAATTACCTCCCTTCAGAAATAAAATTATTTTGTCATTTAAAAAATGCAAAAAAAAACCACCCCACACCAGATATGAATCAAAGAGTTGAGCACAGCATTGGCAAAATACAACAGAACAATTACATAATGAAAAGAAAATGAATACACGTTGAATATCAAGTGATTAAAGAAGCAGCGAGCAAGGTGTGGCTCACTTCAAGATCCTCTCACAAATCCAGACAACTTTGAGTTCTTGCTCAATACCATACGTATAAACTGCTCATGAAGCAGTGGCTGCAGCAAGTAGTAAAAATGATTTAAGAGGCAAAATTGCCAGATTAAATCTATTTTCTCTCCCAAAAAGATGTAGGAAAAATTGTAATCTTTAGAGCAGGGGGTATAATACCCAAGAGAGTTGGTGCAGCTTCTTGTTCTACAAACAACTTAAATCCAATCCTCTCCAGGCACAAAAGCGATTACATATCTTCAGAGTAAAGCAGCTTTAACTCTTATAAAGCAGCTTTACGTATCTAGACACGAATGCTGAAAAGCTGTCAAATAAAAATGCAAAATCCAAACCTTATCCATGCTGAATAGTGCCTGGTACTGCGGAACGACGGCGTTCCGGGGCTCTGTGAGAATTCGTACAAGGGTTTTCTCATCCAAACTATGCAGAGGAACCACTACAGGCAAACGGCCCACAAACTCGGGAATCATCCCGAACTCGATGAGATCCCTGGCCTCCACGTGGCGCAGCAAGCGATCCTTTTCTTCAATGTCCTGGTGTGTATTGGACTCTCCACTTAGGTTAGCGAGATCTGCTGCTGCTGCAGCCCTTCTGCCTTTTCCCAAGTTCGATGGTGTCCCGAATCCTAGATACTGCAAAACAAATGTTTTATTTACAGAAATGTTAGTTCTCTTTGTATAAATGAATACTCAATATGCACTAAAAAGTAATCACTGGAGYGAATGATTACATCATTACATATTAATACGGACTTAAGATTTTACTTAGGGTAAAACTAAATCCTTTACACATAACCAAGCTGTTTAACATTTAATTCCAGTTCTCCCAGTAAGGTGCCAACACACCAGACTGAAAAAAAAAGGCTTCAATAAAAGACAAAACAAAACAACAAGCAAAGAAAAAAAATCTCTCGAACTCCTTTAAAAGCACTTCTCTGATCTCAGGTTCCCAGATAAGTGCTAAACAACCATTGCTCTACAAACAAACTTAGTAGATTTACAAAGCAAGCAGGCCCTTATCAGATAGTATTGTGAACAGCAGTAATTAAGGCAACAATTTTTCAGGTCAAATACAGATAGATGCACTCACCTTTTCGTTTTTCCTCCTGCTGATAATTCTATCAAGACCATTAAAAGCACCAGAAGCTACAAAGAGGATGTTTGTTGTGTCAACCTGTACTGTTTCTCCACGTAGTTTTCGAGAATTCTTTTCTGGGACATTTACAATTGTACCTTCTAGTAATTTTAATAAGCCCTACAAAGCAATAAATGGAAAATAAGTAATAAAGAATCTATGACTCTAAATATTCCTTTGCTGTTTGACACGTGACAAGTTGTATGCAGAATCAATGAGTTAACAGTTTGCTTATGAAGTGAAATTATGCCACAAAAGTACTTACTTGTTGAACACCTTCACCTCCGACATCCCGTAACTGGTGAATACCAGGAACGCTGCCAATCTTGTCTACTTCATCCAGAAAAACGATTCCTGCAGTTAGAGAACATGGATTTAAGGAATTCTCTCCTTTTTAAGTTAAAAAATAACACAGGGAAGAACACAACTGAA